ACAAGCATTTACTAAGCAGCTCCTCTGTGCTTGGCCCTGTGCCAGAACCTTGGGTCATGGAAGACAAAGGACTCTGCCCTTAAGAGCCCAGGTCTCCACCGTTCACCCTTCAACTAGGGATGCTTGTCATGGTGACTGCTGGGCCTCACTGCACACTCAGAGCAAAAATCTTCAGGGAATGTGGTTGAGAAATATAGGTACCTTTTAAAAAATCCTTGGGGGACTGTTATGAGCAGCTCTGGTTAAGAACTACCCCTGTATTATAATTGGGGGATTAAAATGAATAAACAAAACACTGTAACATGAAAAGTGCTGTGGGAGGCAGAGGAGGGAAGGGTATCCTGGGGGGAGACTTGGAAAGCTAGGCAGGTGACCTGGGGGGGGTGACATTTGAATTAAGACTTGGGAAATAATGAGATTGAGAAGAGAATCAGAACTGATAATATTTCAGAGCTCTCTGACTGGAAATCAGAGATAATACTGTAGTAGCTGATGGGGAGGGACGGGGAAGAGGGGTGGGGGGAAAAGACAGACAAGACAATGTAAAGGGCAGAGTACTGGAGGTAATTTGAACATTTAGTGCCAGGGAGTACGCAAAGGGAGCCCAAGAGAGGGAAGGTGTTCTCAAGGAGTTGGCAGAACAACCTGGGGGTTCATTCTTATAGGAGAAATGGACAAAAAACAACATTTTATGGAGAGGTCATGAGAGAAGGGGGATTGCCAGCCTACCAGAGGGTATGGTCATCAATGACAAGTTTGGTGAGCGCTGCTTCAGTAGATAAAGTGGCAGGTGAGGCGGACAGGTCGCCCATGATGACTAATTACAGAGAGATTGGATAAAATGACTGCACACTTTTCTATAAAGTTTGAAGGTAAAGGAGACAGGAAATAAGTCTGATAGATTAGAGAATATTTTTTGTTAAAGATGAATGTTGATCTGAAAATATTTCTAATCTTTAGAGGATGAATCCAAGAGAGGAGCAGGTTCATGTACAACAAGGACAGATAACAGACCAAGTTCCTGGAGAAATGGGTCAGAAAACAGGAATGGCAAATCAAAGGATGGGTGCAAGTGAGGAGACAGGGTAGGGAGATGAGGCAAGGGTGCTTGTGCAAATGACCCAAATCCATCAGAGAGAACCGAGTGCTCTGGGATTAGGGAAGACCTCCCATGGGGTTTCAGCGGGAAGATGATGGGAAACAGTAGGAGCTTCCATTGTGTGCCTTTTTCCACTTTGTAAATATTTGTTGCCCTCTCATTTGCTAAAAAGCAGGACTCTCTGCAGTGACTGAGGCATGAATGTGTTAGAAGCATGAATGCTGTTTATAGGACCAGTTCTCAATCCTGGCAGTACATTAAAGTTACCCATGCTGGGAGTATTTTTTTTTTAATTACTGATAACCTGGCACCACCTTCAAAGGTTCTAATTTAATTGGGTTTGGGTGGGATCTAGGCACCAGGAAGCTCCCCAGAAATCCTAATTTCCAGCTTGGAACACCATTGGTCTGTAGAAGTGTAACAACACATGGATGCAATTACTGTGTGTGAAAATGATATTCGGTGAGAATGTTTCTAAGTTATTAGGCATGTACAGCATATAGGATATTCTGTTAGCCACTGAAAAGAGAAAAAGAGAACTTTGAAGGGATGAGTGAAAAGCCAAAAGCTTATCAGAGAATCATAAGCTTTGAGTTTTAAAGAAGAGTTATGTTGATCTACCTACTCACTTGTCCGTATATCTATGCAGTCAATCACCCAGCAGGCCTCTGAGTACCTGCTACATATTAAACACCGCAGTATCACTGAAAAGAAAGAAAGTAGCCTTTCCATCTAGTATCTTAGATTTATTTGGAGAGGGAGAGAAGAAGGAAACTGATGATTATAATTTCATATTGTAAATGCAGCAGCAGAGGTGGGCAGCAGGAGCTCAGAGTATTCAGTCAAGGGACATTTTATCCAGATGAGAGTGGTGGGAAAAAAGGTTGGTAACTGCGTTTAAAACAAATGAGGATGGGGTGTATGGTGGTGACAGTCGCTGAGTTAAATAATGGCAGCAGTCAAGGCAGAGGACAGGCCTTCAGGACTGGCTGGGCTGCAGGGGGTTCCTAGAATTCTAAAGAATAGAATTAAATTAATGAAAACCGTAAACAACTTAATAAAATGTGTAACATCGTGAAGGTAATGTTAGGGAATGTAGCATTAATGAGTGGTGGCAACCTTTTACTTATCCACTGTATGAGCTGGGGTAAGGCAGAAAACAAATGGTGCAGATTGACTGGAGTAAGTTTAATAGATGGGCTGTTTTAAAAGCAATAAATGAGTGAAGGAAAATGACAAGAAAAAGTCCAGGACCCTGGAAATAAATTGTTTTTACTTGCAATACTCTGACACCAAATATATGGGTTTTTCGCACACCAGCCAATTCTCCAACTTTCTGGAGACCAGCTGGGTGTCCTACAATTTGATTCAATTCTGACACTAACTACAGAGTTAGCATCAAACTCCACAGGTGTAAGGGCTCAGTCCCCCAAGACCCCCCTTACTTCAGACACCAGTTCCAAGTGTTGAGTCCCTAAGCCACCCTCATTTCTGTCCCATTTGCCCACAAAGCAGCAGGAGAGAGGTGTCCTCACAATCCCCCTTCCATTTCAGGTTTATTAATTTGCTAGAATGGCTTACAAAATTCAGGAAAACCACTGGTTGTCACTGGTTTATTATAAAGGATACAAATGCACAGCCAGATGAAGTGACACACAGAACAAGGCCCAGAGGGTCCCAACACAGGAGCTCCTGTCCCAGTGGGGTGAGGATACCACCCTCCCAACACCTCCATGTGTTCACCAGCTCCGAAGTTTTCCAAAACCTCATTAGTCATTTAGGGGTTCTTACAGGGTTTCATTATGTGGGAATGATTGATTAAATCATTGGCCACTGGTGATTAATTCAATACCCAGCCCCATTCCCTTTCCTGGAAATAAGGACTGGGGGACAGGGCTGGAAGTTCCAACCCCCAGTCATGCTTTGGTCTTTCTGATGAGCAGCCCTCACCCTGAAGCCATCTGTGGACCTCTACCCACTAGTTATGTCATTAGATACAAAAGACACTTACCATTCTGGAGATTCTAAGGACTTTAGAAGCTGAGTGCCAGGAACTGGGGACAAAGGCTAACTATTTATCTTTTATTATATCATACTGTGGCTTATAATATAGAGGCTGTTACCTGAGCCTAGATAGGCCAGGAGGGGTGAGCTATAGAACTTGGGGAGAGAGAGATCTCTGTAGACAAAGAAGGTTACTCGCTAGGAGCAATGACTTTTGCATGAGGGCTGAAGCAACTGCAGGAGGAAAGGGCTGGGGAATAAGTCCCTGCACCTCCCTCTTCTTTCCTCCACTCTCCTATTCCAAAGGGACGCTTTCTTTTTGCCTCCCTACGTCTATTCTCTTTCCAGCTTTAACTCCTCTACATCCTGTGCTCTTTCAAATCATGAAGCAGTAACTTGTCCTTCCTTTGGTGTATCAGGCAGATGGCTGTATCTTCTACCCTCTACTCACAAAGCATCTTATACAGTGGCTTTATTCAAAACAGACAGTTTGTAACAGTTAATAGTTTAGTTAACAATTGGGATAGGGATAAATACGCCAATGCTTAATATGGAAATCAGAATCTGTATAGAAAAATGGCAATTGTAGAGCCAAATATTATGAAGGTGGTTCCACTGAGATGTTTCTCAGAATTCTGTGTTTCATACAGCTTAGTTTTCTAATAATGCGTAAGGATTTTTGAAAGATAATTACACCATTTTTTTTCATTTGAATTCAACTAATATAATGGGTATTTGAGAAATCTTCATAGACTTTACTTTTGTGGTTCTTATTAACTTGCTATTCATTAGATTTGGTCAAACACAAATGTTCTATGGTAACTCTAAATATATAATTTGAAAGACTCAGAGTAAGGCCCATTCACTTGAAAACCTGTTCTGTTTTTCAGCTTTACAATGACATGATCTTCACCAGGTCTTTTCTATAAACTGCATAAACAACAACAGGGGTGTTCGAACTGATAATCTTCCATTTTATTAATTTTTTTGGGAGCCACTTCAAGTGAAGGTTAGACTGCTGATGGCTTTCTTATTGAGTCCCTCTTCTAAATGCCTGCCTGTGTCAATGTTCCTACTCATGAAAATGAAGGTGGCCTCTTTGATTGTCACTGGAAATAACTCCGATGGAGAAATCTGTGTGTCATAAAACTTCCAGAATGTTTGTAGTATTTTTTTTGACAAATCTATTCATGAATTTTTAGAAACTCCTAGAGTATGTCAAAATCATTTTATTTCTAAGTTAACAAAAATAGGAAATTGGCTATGATTTGACTACATCATCACTTTTACATTCTCTGGCCCAGCCAGCCACTTCCCTCTCCCCAGTTGCACAACTGATTTTTCCTTGTTTGGCTTTACCCTACTCTGGCTCTAATTTGCCTCAAATTGATTAATTCAACACATGATCACTGTGATTAAACTAAGTCACACATTTCCAATATCCCTGGCACATTTTACTTTTCTGCATATTTAAGTATTGTTGTGGTTGCACAAAATATTTCTATTCATCACAGCTCAATAGCATGGGGCTACTTGGAGTTAATTTTGCATACTGTGCTCAATAAGTAAATAGCCTTATGGATTTTCTTACAGCTTTACTTACTAATGTATAGTTTGTCCATGTAGGAATAAAAAGCTTTTCATTTATTTGTTTCTGCAGTGCACTGGCCCAGGAGGTAGCTCTTTGATGTTGTCTTTTGTTAGGAGCTGGTGATTCCCAGAGGGTTTGAGGAATGTTGGGTGGTTTTGTTACTCCTTTGTTAAAACACAAAGGTGAACCTGTGCTGAGGAAACGCCTTCACAGGGAGGGACATGGGCCTGCAGAATGGCATCGGGCTGAGGGTGAAATAACATGGCCATTTCTCCATGGCTCACCTTTGTCTCCTTTTTTTTTTAGCCACCCAGTGTAAGCACGGTGCTGTGTATGATACCTGTGGCCCCGGATGTGCCAAGACCTGTGACAACTGGAATGAGATTGGTCCATGCAATAAGCCATGTGTTGCAGGTTGCCACTGTCCAGCAAACTTGGTCCTGCACAAGGGAAGGTGCATCAAGCCAGTCCTTTGTCCTCAGCGGTGACCTTTATTCTGCTCCTTAAGACTTTGAAACCTGGTGTCCTTGATACGGAAGTGGAAGAGCCAATGAAGGACTGCAGTATTTGTGTGCTGATTCTGCAAACACACACACACACAAAGTATATATGTGTACATATATAGATACATAGATATATTCAGAAACATTTCATCATTTATATAAACTATAGGTGGATTATTATATGTATATTTTTTGCTATAAGACATGTATGGTTTCTAGGATCCTAATCTGTATTCCACTGGGTACATTGTATAAATAAACCAGGTGTTTTTAATTTAATAAGGCAGCATGCAGACATATTGGATGGCTTTAACATCACATACATTTGTCATTCTTAGAGAAGTTTTCTAAGAAACCTGAATTGCCTGCCTGCTTTAATTTTAGCTTTGAATCAGGATTTGCAGTTGAGTGGGAAATGTGCTTCTCTGGAGAAGAGCAACTTTGTCTAGGGGTATTTCATGCTTCCAAAGAAAGGAATGTATGCCCGACAGAGATGGCTGGTGATTGGTGACAGTCCCTAATGGTGCATGTAAAGCAAGGGATAGACTGTTAGACTTCATGGGTCATGGTCCAGTAGTATTTCCAAAACTAATCGGCTAGTTGCCAAGAAATATATACTTGTCACTAGAGCACAACCATAGAATCAAATGATTTCTTGCCGTCTTTGAATATTCCTTGAATCTCCTAATTATATATGTGTGTATGATGGATTTGCCCATTTATATGTCACATGTTGATATTACAGAGTGTCTGGTGACATGTTAGTTTTATTGAGCATGAGTAGATCTTTGGAGAAACTGTTGCACCACATATGAAGAATATCCATTTCTCTGAATTTCAGACCAATTTAAGATGGGCAAATCCAAGATGTAAGCCATCTACATTTTGTGACTATTCCATGTATAAAATGAAAGCCTTTAATTATTTCTGGAGGATTCCTATTGACTGTTAATATGTCATAATGATTAGACAGAAAGAAAGTTCTTACTGAACAGTTGCTTTAACATCACTCCAAAGAAAGACCTATGTATTTGCTCTAATTTACTGATAGGTTGCTACTAGTCACAATGTAATTTTCCTGACTTTTGTTGTCAGTTGAATAAATGAAAATGTCAAGAAAACAAAACCCACTGATGTCTAAACATAAAATGTTCTGCATTGTAGTAAATAAAGGGCTTAAGATTCAAAACAATGCATTTTCTATTTCAAGATACACTGTTATACTTTATAAATAAGCTATTGCAACTTCAGATTTGACAATTTTTAAAAGGCTTATTTATATATATTTTATATACCCTACAATACTTTATAAAGAGTACTATTAATAGACAATACCTAATTCCTAAATTTTTGACAGTCAGCATATTGACATTGCTAAGATACTTGCATCCCTTTACGTATACTCATGAGAGCTAAAGGGTTTTTCTTAATTGAAGCATACCTGATAAACAATGTTATATTGGTTTCAGGTACATAACATAGCAATTCAACAATTATATGCATTATGAGATGCTCACCATGATAAATTACCATCTGTCACCATACAAAGATAATACAGTATTATTGACTATCTTCCCTATGCTGTATTTTCATCCCCACGACTTATTTATTCAATAATCGGAAGTTTGTATCTCTTCATCTCCTTTACCCCTTCTTGCCTGTTCTCCAGCTCCCCTCTGCTATGGAAACTACCATGTCTCCCCAGGCAAGGGAAACAAAAGCAAAACTAAACAAGTGGGACTACATCAAACAAAAAAGCTTCTGGCAGCAAAGGATATCATCAACAAAATAAAAAGGCAACCTGCTGAATGAAAGAATAAATTTACAAATGATATACCTGACAAGGGGCAAAAATCCAGCATATATAAAGAACTCATAAAACTCAACACCAAAAAACCCCCACAAATAATCTGAGTAAAAAAGAGGCAGAGGGGCGGAGCCAGGATGGCAGCGTGAGTAGAGCAGTGGAAATCTCCTCCCAAAAACACATAGAGCTATGAAAATATAACAAAGAAAAATCTTCCTAAAATAGAGACCACAGGACACAGGACAACATCCAGACCACATCCACACCTGCAAGAACCCAGCGCCTTGTGAAGGGGGTAAGATACAAGCCCCAGCC